CTAGTCCAGACTTTTACTATAGCCGCCCTTAAGTAATAAAAGTAAGAAATAGTCTTAATGTGCCAATCTGACTTTATGACGATGGGTTTGGGCTCGAAGTGACATGGCAGGTCACCGGACGTAGCAGCGGTCACGGGAGGGACATGTACCTGACAGAGGTATGAAACGATTATATGGCTCTCCTTAAAAACAAAGATTAACACGAGAAGTGGGGACAGGAGTATATAAGGGCAGCCTCTTTTGGATTAAGAAAGTTAGAGTTAGAGTGTTAGAGTCGTTGGACGAATTGCCGATTGAGTTATCCGAATCGAGTAGTACGTTGATACTTGTCCTCCCGTGGATCGTGGATTCGTTATCGAACCTGAATTCGCTGTCACCATCATCTCGACCATCCTATTACCATGACTCATAGCCTCTTGTAGTGTCCACATTCATACTGATAAATATTGGCTACATTCGCGACGGTAAAGTAAGTAAAGGTTCATCGAACGCCCCAAAATGCCAACCTGACTCCGACATATAAATTTGAGGAAAACAAAGTCATCTTGTCCTTTTTTCCCTTGAGCATCGAGTTTCATCTTTCCCCATATAAGGGATACCATTCAAAATATATTCTGTTTGGACGTCAACTGCAAACCAAAACTTAATGCCAAATTTATGAGGCTTATTATGCATCGTGCTTTCGTTGGAAATAATTGTTCATCTATTGAGATATTTTTATATGGCTTGTAACAAGCCTGGCTATTACTTATAAATCTGTTCCATATTTCGGATATCAGCGCAAATTTATCTGTTTATAATCTTTCGGAGGCTTTCAATGATCTCCCTTCATATGCGCCCCGGGCATATAGAATTCCTAGAAAACTACGCAACTCAGCAACTATGATTGTCCGTCTTTTTTCAAAACTCGATGCGCCTCGGTTTCAGTGCAATCTTTTATATGTTCCATTATGTGTCTGTCAATTATCAATTCGAAAGCACTAGTTACACAACCCGACATAATACTTCTCTTAGCATAGCCAGTAGGCCCTGCGATATCCTTGAATATCATACGAACGGGCGTCCTACCCCTAGATCCGCCTGCTTTCAGTTTTATCCACTGTGTCCCGTCAATTGCAATTTCAATTTCACCCATTACATTTTGGGATGTGCTTGGAATGCTCGTCCTCTCATCCCCGGAGTCAGAACTAGAAATAATACGCATCCTTTTCTTGTTACGACGCACTTTCAAAAAGTTTCCCTCTTCATTATCCGAAGATCCTTCTATCTCTCCACTTTCAGTTTATTCAGAACTTTCACTGTCAGCTTCGCTTTGGCCTAATTCATATTGATCTTCTTCGGAGGTATCCTCAGAACAATCTTCATCGATGTTGACAATTTTGTTCAATGTCTTATTATATTTCCTGCATTTACTCATGATTGCTAGAAAAGGGGGATTGGTCAAAAAAAGAAAATACCGTGCCCAAATTCAATTATCCTATTGTAAATACTTACAATAAGTGGAGACAATGATGGGAAATGTCTACAATAACTGAAACTTTTGCACACTGTCTTTGAAAAACGGTTTGTTTATGAAATCAGCTAGCCCGTCAATTTAACGGGTTTCGTAGAGATAGGTATACTACATACAGATTTCAAAAATTAGAAAGCCTAGGAAAAAATGACTCCCGTCAACCTAGTGTTAAGTATGAGTCCAACTAAGATAACGTTCCTAGAAACTTTTACAATTGTTGTACAGCTGTAAAATATTGAATATTATATTATAACGATATTAAAGGACATTATAAAGTGCTGAAAAAGTCGACTATGATAAATGGACGAATATTTATGCGGTTGACTATAAGATGCAAATAAGACGGGTTTATGATAAAATAATTAGGCTGTAGGGTACGAATAAAAGAGACACGTAACAAAATAACTTGGCTGTACGACGCGAACGAAATATTTATAATAAAATAAGTAGAAAGTAAAAGCAGTGAAGTTCAATATATATTAAATATCAGCCAGTATCTTAATAGTGATAGCCGACAGTGTACTACGTGTCTTTCGATGCTTTGTTTTTCGTGGTGCAAGAGTGGCGTGTTAATTCGCGCGACACCGCTGTGCGCTCCGTTAGCAATGCGACTGGGAGTAAACAGGTTTGACCAATTGTTTTTTCGAATTCGAGTGGGAAAATTGCAGCGCGTCTCATTTCGTGTAGAAGGGAGAAAGAAGATGGGAACGCGTTTGGCGAGAATTCGCGACGTCTTCCTCGTCTTCGCGTGGGTTACCACGGATCTTTTTTCTTCTTGAGCGTTTCAGCCTCGGAACACGTGGGAAGCCAACCATGGGAAAACAAGAATTTTATTTGAAAGAATTTATTTTCTTCTTAGCCCGAACTGGAATTTAATTTAGTATGTTAACAACGCCATATTTTAAAAGCGAACTATTTCACCCATTCATTTAACATCCCACGTCGTCGTCTTTCATTCTCTCTCTCTCTCTCTTTCTCTCTTTTTATTCGCACTTTACTCGCCTCGTGCGTTATCTCTATGCCACACGATTGTGTATCGCCAGACGATACGCGGATATCAGATACTTGGTACCGAAAGGAGCAACTAATTAAATACCAACGTTTGTCGTCCGATCTATCCGGTGATTAGCGTCACTCTAATCTTCCCGTCCGGAAACAAGTACTCGCGACCAACTTCGAAATATTTGCCTTCCGACCTAATTAGCCTCTTACGAAATACCCTATCCAAGATAGGCTAAATAGCTTATCCAAGAAATTACTGTAAAACCCATGGAAACTGGTAGACGTTATAGCGCCGATTTACAAACTTTCATCGTTTCATATTTTTCGACTAAACATTTAAAATGTGAACAACCGCTCAAAGCTATGGTTATAGAGTATGCGCGTTTTAATGAACTGTCGTTCTGAGGTATGAAACATCTGAAGATCATACGCTCATAAGAATCTATATACGTTCGATTGCTCCAGCGTATTCGTCGAAATGACATCTCGTCAGAACAACAACAGAACAGGCATTCGTTATAATCATGGCTAATTCGTATTTATCATGCATCATATTTATTTACGTGTCACCCGGTCGGTAATTAGTAATCACATTGCGTATCAGACTCGAGCACATATATCTCTGGCAGGCAGGATTATTTTTGCTTTCATTCAACCGCGTTCCTTTCTCGTCGGCGTGCGTACACAGTCAAGTTCTCGCAGCCTGATTCCCTTGTTTACGGTCGCCAAGAAACGTGCCGTGGCACGATATGACGCGGTCCCGGCCCGTGGACACCCGATTCGAAAGCCGGCCATTCTGAATGAGTCTAAGTTTAGTAAACCGACCAACGAGGCCAACGTGGCAGCCGATGTACTCAAAGAACGCGTATCGCAGGCCAACTGTGAGCGCGCGATACAGAGTAGCCAGAAGCGTGAATCGTCCGACTGACATCACACGAGCCACGCACGCTCTTGCACCGCAGGAGAAACCACGGAAATTTATGTTGAGCTAACAGCGCAGATTTAACAGTAATTACCGACCATCTTTCTCTCCTGGCAACAGACCTTACTTACATCGTCCCGGAACGGATACGCGATTAACCTCGATGCCATCATCTCCGATAATTGCCAGTTCTATCCGAACAACTTATCTCTATCTGATTGATATGATCGATTACCCAGAACAAAAAACTGATTACCTACGTCGGCCGAAGCTGCACGAGCTTCATTAACTCTATAAAACAAGCGCGTCCTTTCGAAACATCATTGCAAAGTTATTTCCCCTTTTCCAACGTTTCTAACTGTCTTCGTCTAGGCTTTGCGATTTTCTTTGATAAATGAGAAAACGGTATTTGGTAAAAAGTATAAACAGATTGTAATGAGGTGTCTGTATGATGATGTCTATATAGCAGCGCGTGAAAGGATTCGAATACCTGTAGAAATCTGGCTGCTCACGTGTTATTGTAAGTACATATGCGTTCGTACATAAATGTCTAAAATTTCCATACGCAGCTTCAGATGGATTTCAAATTTTAGCGATATAGTCGTGACAATTGTGTTTCCTTACGGTATTAATGAAATTTCAAAATATTTTATATAACACGTAGGAAAGCTTCCGCTGTATAGATATGTATATGAGCTTCTCAGAAACCAAACTAATTAACTCCACCTTTACATAATAGGATTCACAGATACATAATTAATATTCATCTGAAAGAGAATAGAATTTATTTCTCACAACAAGATAGTATAATCACAAGCTTCACAATAAATTTAGAAAAATATTGTGATTTTTCATTGCGTTTCAATTAATACGTTTGATCAGTATGGCTTTTGAATGATCCATATATCGTAGATAGAGGATTAAGAGGAAACAAGGAAACGCATCGATCATACGATTGCCGTTTTGGCTTATTTTCCGAATCCCACATTTAATAACAGAACTGCAAGAATAACATCGCAATCTATATTATATATTCATATAACACTTAAAAAGACAGGACGCAAATACGGGAGCCACCTGTATTGCAATCCCTAGCTCCGTCTCGATCAAACTCTGAATATTTATCTTACGATTGATAAAGCTTCGAATAGAAAACAATACGATGTTCGAATCGTCAATGAAAGTTGTTTATAGAGGAATTCTAATTTTTACGTTTCCTTCGTTCAAGATGGGTTTCCGTGGAAGACAGACAAAAGAAAGACGAGGAGAGGTGGAAAAGGGAAAGGGAAAGAGGGTAAAGGAAAAGCAAAGCGAAACGAGACGAAAAGAGGATCGGTGTTGGCATACTCGGGAGCAGACACAGCGCAGCAAGTGAACGCGTGAGACGGGAACCGGAAGTCTATTTTCGTGAGCCGCACCGATTTAGAAAGCTTTATAGTTTGTACGAACCTCAGCGGCTAACAGCCAACCGCCGTCGTTGGTGTGGCTCGCTGCTTTAAGTGCATGCACAAAATGAGATTTGTGCGGCACTCTTTCTCCCTCGCTCTCTCTTTCGAGACCTATACTACTATAAATATTAGGGAATATTGGCTCGTTTAGAAAGTAACGAAAGAAAACTTTTTTTTTAAACTTGGATCCTATGTTCTCTTGATAAAAAAACCGCTAATTAATCAATCTTATTTTGAACCAAGAGTAACATCTGTTCGAACTTAATATTTTAATATTTGGTAAAAATTCACGATAATTACTCGATAACGATACATACCTGAAAAAGGATTTTTTCAATCCTATCAAATACAATGTAGAAGATATGCACTATTGGGAACGCTATGAACTTTCTAAATTTGAAACTTTCAAATGCAACTTAACATTTTCAAGTCGTGTACTATGTATTTCATTTTCAATAAAAAAATCTCCCAAGATATATATTAAAGAATGTAATACGCATCAGAAGTAACCATTCGACGTTATCGCATTTGCTACGAGTTTTGCCAATAACTCAATGAATGGCTAATCAGTTGCTTACATCGGTCACGTGTGCGATATACCTTTGATCTATCGGCTACTTAATGAGCCGGGCGGATGCGTCGATGAATGAAATCCCCACTACCAGCGGGCGATGTCCTTCCTTCGTTCACAATCAACATCATTGAATGAACAACTGTTTCTGAAAACCTTGCTGGTATCTACTCTTTACACTTCGTATTTGATAGTATATCTG